TTAAATAAAATTGTTAAACATCTGAGATATTCTACGGTGGTTCTGGTGGAAAAACATCGTGGCTCACGATGTTTCGAAATCCTGGTCGGGTTGACCAGGAACTACGGGTTCGACCATAAAAAAGGTCTAGCAGGTACTCAGCGGGCGGTCGACCCGGATTTTCACGCTAATCTGCGGAACGAGTCGGCGGGCCCTTCTGACGCCCCCGTGCTTTTACATGGGTTTCCCTATACTTTAAATTTTTTACTACGGTACTGTAGGCTCCGCCGGGGCATCTCTCGAGTCAAAAATTTCACCCCATACCACGTAGTATTCTCACTACGGTTACGGTAATGGGAACAGGCCTTTACAACTCGGCCATTCCTGACCTTCATCCGTCCTCGGAGCAACGGTAATATAAACATACATAACATTACAAAAATACTTACTTAAACTATAGCATTACATTTCCGCTTTAACTTTTCTTTTCGTCTTTAAGGTCGCATGTCAATCACCAGTTAAAGTGGTATCTTTCCAGGGTCGCATGTTATTGGCTTCCCACACCCCCTGATACGGTTTCTGCGAATTTTGTAACCCTTCTGGATGAACAATAACATACCTATCTTGTCTTAACCTTCTCTTTACCACATATGGGCCCTTAAACTCTGGAATTATTTTTATTTCGATACCCCAGGAGTAGCGTCAAAATTCTTAATCATAATTAAATCACCTTGGTCATATTCGTTAACTTTACGCCTTTTCTGATCTACATACTTTTTATTGTATTCCTGAGCTTTGAAAATTTTTTCAGCGGCTTGCTCTCGTATTTCTTTAAAATCACATGGTATATCGTCAGTAACAGTGTTCTCAACGTAGGCTTTCATATCATCAATTACCTTCCCTCTCTGACTTACTCCAAACAATAACATACTCGGTGTTTGACCCGTCGATTTATTCACCGTATTGTTTAATGCAAACTCCACTTCTTTGATCACCTTGTAACAATATTTTCCGGCTTCGTCATCACTCATTTCGCTAACATTGGCACCAACACTCGATTTACTCTCTCTACCTGCCCATTTGCTTGAGGTGACCCTGTGGCAACCTTGATATGTTTTACATGTCTTTCTTCCAAAAATTGTTCAAAATCATTTGACGAGAAACATGATCCACGATCCGAAACTACAACCATTGGCCTACTATAATTTTGGAAATAGTCAGTTAAACATTCAATCACTTCTTTACTCGCTGTTGTTTTTGTTGCATACAATTTAACAAACTTGGTAAAAGCATCCACTACTACTAAAACATGTTGTTCCACTACTCGCCTCTGATCTATTGGACCTACGTGATCCACGAGAATTGTAGCAAAAGGGACATTCCCCTTTGGTACAATGTGTAAATACTCTTCGTCTTTTCCCGATGCTGGCGAAAACGCAATACATTTTAAACAGTTCTTAATATGCGCTTGCACTTTCTCACTCAATTTTGGAAACCAATAATTTTCTAATATAACGTTACATGTTTTCTCTTTGCCTAGATGACCCATTTCATCATGGTATTTGAAAATTACATTAGCTTCCATCTGTCGTGGCACATAAAATAATAACTTATCGTTCCTCTTTCTGTAAACTATTCCGTTTCGTAATTCGTACAGTTTGTCCTCACTACACTCTAAACCATCACGTATCTCAACAATGACTTTGACGAACTAGTAAATTCCATTCCAATGGATTATCCTAGATTACCATAATAACTGAACTCTTTCTACTCAACGCATCTACATGCCGCATTCGAACGCCTGCTCTATGTTCAACAGTGTAGTCGTAATTCATAAGCTC